ATGGTTTTGGCGTCGTGCGCATGGTTTTCCATTTCTCTCTCGTTTTCCCTGGTGGATTCGTAGTTTCCCTCTCGGGCCAATGAGCCGGTGTCCCTGTCGCTGTCGGGCGGAAGAAGGCAGTCGCGCCTTCTTACATATAGCCTCTTTAGGAAGGTGATGCGCTCATTCCAAGCACTACGGCTATCGCGCCGGAGTCGCGGACACCTTCTAGTGAATAATATGAGAGAAATATCATGCACAAACGGACCGACCAGTGTGACAGCAAGAGCTTTCGATTTGGGTTTCCGCGGCGCTATCTGCCCTCTCAATTCTTCTTGCCCCACCTTCCGTTCCCTCCCTCCCTCCCTCCTTCAGAATGCCTCCTCGTTCCTCTAAACGAAAAGCGGCAAGTCTCGGTCCTTTGTGCGACCTGCATTGCTCACAATTTCATTTCCAGAATGTCGACGCGGACACGGTATGTGCATTGCCATTGACGCGCCATTTTATTCACAGTGCTTTAAGACGCGTCTTGCAAAGCAGAGTCGGACGGTATGTCCTCCCGTTCATGCAGTGTTGTCGCCCGCGGCTGACTACGATCCAGACCCCGTCCTCAGCCGAGACCAAGGTACATACGACGTGTCTGCGCGTCTTCTTCTTTATCCAGCCTTACTGACCTTCCTCTGCATCAATCAGTCGATGTTGGAGCGATGAAAGAGGATTGCACAAACGCAAAGAGTCAATGATTCTGAGGTGCGCAGACATTTTTACTCACCCTTCTTTTCCTGACTCGCGTTCAAGGACGAGGAAGAAGTCGCCGGGGATCTGCACGTTCTACAGGTGCGCATATATTCAGGTTTTCTTTGGAGAGAGATGCTGACGTGAATTAAGGACAACGAGGACGGGAAAGACGAAGTGACGCTTGCCAGTGTCAGTCTTCATTCATCTAGTGCGCATATATTCATGCTAACCGTACATTTTTTATTCGATTAGGTCGCCGCCGTTCGTATTCATGTCTTTCGCATATCCAGGCTCTAACCACGGTGCAGTTGCCTTTTCGCGAGCTAGAAAGGATTCGCAAACGCGAGAAGCGGGCTGAACCAGATTATCAAGCGACGAAACTAGCTAAGAAGGAGGCCAAGGCGCTGGATTTTCAAAACGATGTTATCCAGGTCTGGTTAAACCGTCTCCTCGAAGCGATCGAACTGGATCAAGCTACCTCCGCGCAACTGCAGCAAGAGCCGTTAGCGGCGCTCCAACGCTCGGACACATTGTCTGCGCAGGCGGCTCATGTCGAGCACACGTCGCATAGTGGAATATGGGATGCGCTCAAGCCAGCCACGGTGAAATTCCTTTTCGCCGCTGCTCGAGGGCTCGAGGTTGCCGATGTGGAGGCTGCGGTGGCAGCTGGGGTTCTTGAAGAGAGCCTTCCCGGCGACGAGCGCCCGTTCTCTGGTTCTCTGTTCTACTCTAGAATATGGTTCCCAAGGAAGAGAGCCAACAACTCGGTCGCCGCGTGTCTCTACAGGTACCTCACAGCTTATCCCGCCGACGCAGCTTGGACTATCAAGCATCTAATCGACGTCGGCGAGCAGGCGACAGATGTACAAACAGTGTTGTACGGCGCGCTTGAGCCAGTCGGACACGGCTCCACCGTAAACCTGCTCTTTGACGCGCTGAATTCAAAGCAGCAATGGGCCACCTACACTTCCAGCATCTCCGCCAAATCTTGCAAACTTTTCCCGTATAGCGGGGAATCTGGCGAGAGTCGCCCATGGCAGCGGCATGCTGACGACATGGATGCCGTGCGCAGAGGCGAACTCCCCACCCGTCTCGGTAACTTTCTCCGCGTCAACGACGATCACATCGAGTGGAAATTGTTTCAAGTGTCGGACCTGAGCCTACCCGATTCACTAGGTATTCGTCTGGACGTCACCGCGAGCGATACCGAGACGTTCTTGATTCGCACGCATCGTGGACAATGCATGAATTCTGCCGTTGGCGGGTTCATTCGGCGTTTTGTTCCCAACGCTCTCGTCGCCGCGTTGAAACCCCTCCTCCTTCCTACAACATCTCCTGGCATATACGGGTCGTATCCCCTCCCGCGTCTGTCGGCTCGGATCCTCTCGCTGATCAAGGACGAGTACAAGCACGTCACCGAGTGCCTCAACCAACCGCTGATGACGAATGAGGCCATGCTCTCAGTTCTGAGAAACGGTGCTGAGGTTATCCGCGGTCTCTCGAGTGACGGCCTCGTTCCGCTTCTGCGAATTATGAAGGATATACCAATGGAAGACTTTCAGGGTGTCGACCACGCTCCTTTCCAGGCCAACACTGGAAAGGCCCTCCAGTCCTACAGACGCATTCACCACCTCCTGCATCCCACCATTCCTCTCACAGGAGACCTTACCGCTACGCAGATCGCTTGCTGGATTGGTCCATTCATCAATTTCTGGCGAGTCGTCATCCGACATTGGTGGTGGTGGCTTCACTGTCTCTGGCTCAGCCGCCTCTTGCGCATCATGCGACCTGTGATCATAGAGACGTGGTCTAACGCCGTCTTTACAATGTTGACCATTGGCGCATTAGAGTCTGTGTGGGAGAGGGTGCCCGACGAGGTGCGGGGCGACTTTATGGCAGGTTCGACTCCGCCCAACATCAAATCGTTCTTGCCCGAGACCTCTACGCCCGGCTGGTACCCCCGCACCACCGATCAAAGCTATCTGGACTCCGTCGGCCAGCTCTTGGTTGTCCAGACCGGCTTTCATTTAGCGGACTTATGCATCACCATCCCCAATCTCGACCCGGGCGTCATCAAATACGATCCAGCCGAGGCATACCTTGTTGAACACATTGTGTACACCGTCACGATCATAACGCAGGTCGCCGTCAAGGAGGTCGAGATTTTCCGGATGGCGGGGAAGACGCCCTCGTATACCGACGCAGCACTCGCATGGTCCTATTTTGAGGACCTGCGCTCCGCGATCGAGTACAAACTCAGCAACACAGATTTGAGGGCAACACTCAATGACTTGAAAGCCGAACTTGGACGAGCATCTTCCGTCTCGGGCCATTTGCGTTCCCTTCTAGGGCACCGCGATGCTTCAAATCGGGAGGACGAGGACGCAGCCCCGTACTCGATACCGGGCATTACCGAGACAACTGCGAAAGGTGCGCCGCGCATTGCTCAATATGAGCGAATCATAGCGCTGGCTCGTATGCTGCAGCGCGGCGGGGCCAATCCCGATCCGTATCACCTCGTCCCTCTCCAATTTCGGGATGACATGTTCGGCAGCGGCTTCAAGGGTTGGTTCTTAGCGCTCCCGCCCGGCATCCGCATCTCCAACTCCTCCAAGGTTTGGGGCAACAGCCCAGCAGCCTTCAAGAATCAGCTAGCGAATCACGATCGATTCGGGCACGACACCCAAGCTCAATCGAGAGGAGGAATAGCGGGGACCGCCACGCTGCGAGCCAAAAAAGCGATGCGTGAGGAGGGATCGATGAAGGCCAAAGCGCTGGTTCAAAGCCTGCGCGACCCCTTCAAGCTTTTACCAAAACAAAAGGCCACGGGCAACATGAGCACGAGGGACGGCTGGCGGTACGGCAAGTGTCAGAGTTGTGGGGAGCTCGCGATTGGCAGGGACCACAACTGCTTCCACCTCTGCATATCGGGAGACAAAATCAAGATGAACGAGGAAGCGTTCTCAACGCTCCGTCGGATTGTGTATGCCCAAGATGCATTTCTATCCTCAGAACTCGCCCCGCTTGTTGGAGACGCAGAACCCCTCGATTTTGTGCGTATTTCGGCCTTGTCGGTTATCAATAGACCCGGCAATCGCGCGTTGGTCGAAACCATTCTCCCTGGCTTCGATTTTCGATACATAGCAGGGGACATCTTCGTCCCGCTCGAGTTTGCCGATGTCCACAAAGATCCTCATGGCCTCCAATTGACGCTTGCTATCGACAGCGCCCTCCACCACGCCTCGCTCTCCAGGTTTACCGAGGACGACGCAAGCCAACGCGGAGAGGCATGGGGATACATTGGCTTACCATCTACATGGGTCGATGGGAAGCGTAAGTCATTCCTGTTGCTTATGTGTTCCTGAAATAAAACTTGACCTAGGTTCCATGATGAAATGTGCATTCGGCACATTGAAGATCATGAAGACGCGCACAACATTCTACGAGCATGCATGCACGAACAGCAGGCCGCTCGTCGAAGCGGAGAAGGCTCGTTGCGCTCAAGCACACGAAAAGTACGTGCAAGACCGGACCGCCACTGGTCCGTCCAATTGCCACACGCAGCAGACCGAAGCCCTTCAAACGGCGCTGCAACTCCCAGTCGAGCATCTCCGGCGGTTCTGGTGGCAGGCGCGGGTATTCCCCCATCTCACGTCTTGACGTCCATATTGTTATTGTTATTTTGTAGTTGTAGGCGGTAGCAGTCAGGAATCGACGGTTTTCTTGTTGTATGCCAGTGTTTTTGCTATATCAGATCCTAACTCGCGCGTGGAAGACGAAGTGTGATATATGCGGTGATGGGTACGGAATAGAAAAATTCGCTCTCGCTCTGGAAATGTCACACGCTGTTACACATGTCACCAATCCCATCATTCGCCCAATGCGGACGATATAATTGATTGCCGAATACCTCCCACCTAGGCGTCCACAGGGCTCATTAATATGTGTCAAAATACTCGCAGCAACATTTTTATCTCCCAGTCTTGTATTCCTCCATCATAAAAAATTCTCAAACCCGTATCTCATCCGTCTGTTATTCGATCCTCAAGCTTGTTCGACTTGTTGTGCTCAGAATCGTCCGCGCTATCCATTCTACATGGTCCCCAGACCTTCGCAGGCACTGTGGCGGAGTGGTCGAGCGACAGATTGAATTTATCTAGTCCACGCTCAACTCTGTTTACGCCGTATCTCATCCGTCTGTTATTCGATCCTCAAGCTTGTTCGACTTGTTGTGCTCAGAATCGTCCGCGCTATCCATTCTACATGGTCCCCAGACCTTCGCAGGCACTGTGGCGGAGTGGTCTAACGCGACAGATTTGAATTTCTCACTATCTGTTCCACTATGTGGGCGTCCGTTCGAACCGGGCCAGTGTCGAGTCTCGTTTTGTTTTTGTTTTTTGTTTTTTTTGTTTTTTTCGTGGGTGATGCGATTCAACGAGAAAAGGGTGAGTTCTGTGCCATTCGGGCCGGGCATCTGACAAAAGGTGCATTTTTTGGGGAGGACGACGAGGACGACGAGCCTGCAGGAGGGATTGCAGAGGAGCAAGAACTGGACCAGTGTCGACTCTCGTTGCTTTTTGTACGGTTGACCTGATTCAACGAAAAAAGGTGGACTTCCGTGCGATTCAGGTCGGCAACCCATATTTATTTGGAGGACCTCGAGCAAGAGCCTGCAAGAGCGATCAAGGAGCGATTCAGGCAATCGAATCCCTCATCACGTGCCCCACTCATGTTCCCGATTCGACTCTCCAGCTTGCCATGGACTCTTTAATACCCTTTACAACGTCAGGGTCGCTGGTGGATTGTGTGGACAGTACGTCTGCCAAGTCAACTACACTTCCGTGTCCTGAACATTCCCGCCACTCCTCCTTTGGTGTCCGCCCTTGCTAGGAAAGATGCTGGTAGTCTTGCGCGACGGGAGAAAACTACACGGCGTCCTGCGCTCCTACGACCAGTTCGGTACAGGCCTTCCGCGCTCTTGTCTTTCTGGCTCACCGACACCGGCCAGCTAACCTCGTCCTCGAGGACACCGTCGAGCGCATCTACCACGGCAACGCGTTCGCGGAGAACTGGCATGGGCTGTTTCTCATTCGCGGCGAAAACGTCGTGCTGCTCGGCGAAATTGCACGTCCCCTGGGCTTTGTCTACCCGGTGCTAGCTGATATTATTCCCAGGATCTCGATCTAGAGGACGAGATACCGCTGCGCCAGCAGGTGGACTACGCGGCCCTCGAGCCTTACCACAAGAACGACGTCGAGATGAAAAAACAACGAGAAGAAGTCAAGGCTCAGATCTTGTATGAGAAAAAGGGCTTCTGCAAGGAGGGAGGCGAAGGGGACGGGTATTGAGAACGGACGAGGGGATACTAATATTCCTGGATGTCCTGGCCGAGGGAGTTTGGTCGGGCGACGACCATAGGCAGATTCATTACGCCTCGCAGTATAGTATCGCGGTCAGATACGATTTGTACGTTTGTATGCTGATAACTCTGGGCAAAGGTTTAGATGTGTGGAGTATTATTGGCGTGAAGAGAGAATGCTACAGAACAAGATGCAAATACATTGTAGAGCGGTTTCAACAGAGAGTGCAAAAAGAAGGCAGAAAAGACGGAATAAAAATACAGCGGGATTCAAGACGGGTTTTTTCTCTTCTTCCCTTTCTTGCTGTCCCCATTCGCTTTTCCCTTGACGGCGTTGCCATTGACGAGCTTGGAGGATTTCAGGGGTGCGGCGGTCGAAGGATCGATACAAGAGCGATTGAATGGTTCAACAATATCCTCGATTCGCTTTCGGAGTTCGCGTTCCCTGGTGGTCAGCCTCAACAGAGCTTCCTCCCTCTTCTCCCTCTCCTTCGCGACGTCCTTGGCCCTGATTGTCTGCCAGCTACACAGCGTCAGCCGAGCCGTCGAACATTATAAGAAGTAGATAAACATACCCAGAGTGACGCTCGCACTGCTCGCTCTCAATACACCACCACTCCTCCGCATCAACCTGCATAGCACCCTCTTTCGCGCCCTCTTCATAGCTCTCCAAAACGCCCGCCCCGAAATCGGCCCACTCGTCCTCGCCGAAACACAGCCGCTGGTCCCACCCGCACTGGCCCACCTGCTCGGCGCGTTCAGTGGCGAGCTCCAGCAGCCTCTCGCGCCAAAAGACAATCTCCATCCCGTCCTTGAGGCCCTCCCGCAGCATGACGACCTCGTCCAGCACCGCGTTCAAGTTCGAGACCTCCCGCTCCACCTTGCCCATGTTCGACGGCTTCACGCGGGCGGTCACGACGGGCGCGTCCTGGTTTTCCTTCATGCAGCCCTCGGCGCCATCGACCGGCGGGATGACCTCGTCGTGGACGATCACGACCGCCTCCCGCTTCTGTGCATCCTTCACGCTGTCCCAGAGCAACTCCTTCTTCCCGCCGTTCTTCGTGAATATGTCAATGCGCTTCTTGATGTTGTTTAACCCACACTCTGGTGAGCAGTACTTCGAAAAAGCACCTTGGGCGGGTTTATGGCATGCTTTGGGCGAGTCGGGTTCGGGATGATCCAGGCCGTATCGGCATCGTGGTTTGTATGTAGTCTTGAGCGAAAGATGGGGGTTCTCTGTAAGACATTGTGAGCAAAACCAACAAGGATACGATTCCGGAAACATACTTTCGATGCAAAGCGGGCAAAAAAATTGATCGACCAGATCAACGACTAGATCCGGCATGTCGACGCATTGGGTGTGATACCACTCATCGCACCTGCATGAAGATCAATGGACGGAGAGCTAAAGAAAGCCAAAAACACGCACTTGTCGCAAGCAATCATAAAACGGTCCTCGTCGTACTTGGTCTTGCAAACACAGTACAGCTTGTCGTCCTCGGCGGCGGCGGCGGCGAGAGCGTCCTCGTCCTCGTCCTCGTGTTTCTCTGAGCCGTCTGGACCGACAGAACCGCCGGGCATGACGGAAGTGGACCGAGAGCGGGAGGCCGATGCCGCCACAGAGCCGCTTTTCCGTGATATCGCGGAGGGTGCTTTGGCTTTCCCAGCAGGACCAGCCCCATCCGAAGCTTTGGGCTTTGGCTTTGGAGCCGGCTTTGCTCGAGGTTTCGCAGCAGCAGTGGCTTTCGGTTTCGCAGCAGGCTGGGAACAATGTGAATTTAGGTTTGTGGCGGACGGTTTAATCACGCGTACCTTTGCCGTCTCCTTCTTCTTTCGCGGCGCAGGAGTGGCGCTCGACTCTTTGCTCTTGCCTTGACCTGTGGCAGTGGATGCGGGAGGGGGCATCGATTCACGTTCGGACGGAGGAAGCATGGAAGACGCTCTCGCGCCTGGGGAGAAGAAGGACGAAGGAGACGGAGCAGTCGCCATTGGAGAGGCATGACGCGACTCGGATTCGGTGCCATTCTGGAGTCGGAGGGCAGGCTTGCTGCTGCCACCGGAAGGCACGCGGTTCACACTAGGTGGACGAGTGATGGAACGCGACCGCGGGCGACCATCGACCAAGCTAAGCAACTCGTCCTCGACATCGACCTCCATCCCCACTACTGCCACGGCCTCCTCTTGCTGGCCGGTTTCCAACGTCTCTTTGACTAACTCCGATACCGCCATGTCGACATCCATTTCGTCGTCCCTTGGCTCAACCTTGCTCGGGGCGGGGACGAAGACAGATGAGAGCTCTTCCTCGAGGGCCACGGCCGCCTCGGGCATTGTGGCGGGGATCAAGGGCGGAGTGGCTCTCTTTGTGTGAGCTGGGCTTTGACTCTTGACCACGTGGGGCACGGCCGAGGATGTCGCGGGCAAAGGAGAAGGGGGCATTGCTGGCTCGGGCTTTCGCCGTGACTCGGGAGAGGGATCGGCGAAGTGCTCCAGTAACCACTCGTGTGCATCCTCCTCCTTGAGCTGTCGCGGCGGGGGCTGAGGTTGGGGCGGCTGAGGTCGCCGTTGCGGTGGGCCGTGCTGGCGAGTGTCTTGCTCTGGCCGCCGGCTAGGACCGGCCACTGGCGGGTATTCGACGGGACGGGGTGGCTGGGGTTGAGTCTGGGAATGAGACTTTCTATGCCTCCTGTCCTCTACCACGTACTCCTCCCGCGGTCTCTCGGGGACGTGGATGACGGTCGCGTATTCCCTCCGTTCCGGGGGATACGGGGCGCTCACGTCAGGCTCTTCGGGGTCGGATTTCCGAGCCTTTGCTCGTCCAGTGTGGCTGCCGGGAGGCGATCGTCTTCCGGGCGGGAAAGGGGGACTATGCGGGAAAGGGGGACTGTGAATCCTACTGTCCGGTGGACCGCCGACCCCGTGCCTCTCCTCCGTGACGCCCAAAGTCTTGCGCTGGCGATGGGCGAAATTGAATTGACCGGGATCAGCGCCCGAACTCGAAGAAGGCCGGCGGATAGCGGGAAGGACGGGCGAGGAATGGTCCGGCCGAACGAATTCGACGTCGGTGGGATTGAGGATGCTTCGGTCTCCGCTGCGCTTCAGAGAGATGGCGCGCTCCCAGTCAAAGGCGGCGGCGTTGGACACCGGGGGAAGCGGTCCGGGCGAGTCGGAATAGCGGCGCTTCTTGTTCGGTGGCTCCATCTGCTGGTGGGCGGGGAGGGGTGGGATATGGGATGACGAGGGTATGGGGTGGACGGGGCTGGTGAAGGGCCGGAGCTGGCCAGGATCTGACTTTCGGCCAGGACGCAGATCGACGGGGATGGAGCTGAGACCGAGCGCGTCGGCGACGCGTCCCCGCTCGCGCTCCCTTTCCCACAGCTGGGCCTGGAGGCGCTCCTGCTGGAGCATCTGCTCGTGATGCTCGCGCTTGCGGGCCTCCTGCTGATAATGCTGCTGCTGCTGCTGCTGTTGCTGCTGATGCTGCTGCTGCTGCAGGAGTCGGAGGTGATGCTGGTGCTGCTGCTCCTGCTGCTGCTGCAGGACATGGCGAGAAGGCGGGGCCATCTGGGAGAAGTGGGGGACGGTGCGGGGGCGATGGGGGTCCTCGCGAGCAAAGGGTTGCTCGGGACGGTGCTCGCGGACGATTGCGGCTGCGCGGGCGAGGGCGTCGAGGGACTGGTCTGTGCGCTCTGTGCGCCGGAGATGGGGGGCGAGCACGACGGGCTCTGCGACGACCTGGTCTCGGATGCGGGTGCGGTCTGGCTCCTTGGGCGGGGGCTCGTCGCACAACAGCGACGAGATATCGAGCCGGCGCGACATGGTGGTACAAGAACAAGAAGATCACGAATACGAGAACCACGAGGTATCTCCATTCAAGAATTACAAAGATGGCCAGCAGCGTACCCCGGCCACAGTCCCCGGACGGCCACCGTCCGCGTACTAGTACACAGCAGCCCCAGTGCCCACCGCGATCCGAGCCTCCCTAAGTCCACGTCCTTATCTGCGCAAATCATGTTGAT